CAGGACTTGAAGCTCAGTCCCTCAAATGGCAAGATGTCCCTGAGCGCCAGCATCCTCTTGCCGCTGCGCGAGGCGGTGACAGCCGCTCTTGCTAGGTTTGGGGCAGCTTCTTCCCTCCCTCCTTCCCTCGCTGCGCAGCTGAGCTGTCCCAGCGCTGGCCTCGCGCGGACCACCTTGGGTTGTGGGCAGAGCGCACCTGAGCACCATCCTCAGCAGCTGTCGCAGAGGCTATTGGCCTTGGTGTAGAGAGTTGAACTGTAAGTGCGTTTGAAAGCAGTACTTAAGTGTACCGGGGTGATGAAAACAACACTCAGCCTTTCCGTGTGACTGGGGAAAGCAGTTGTACGTTGAATGGACAGCTTTTTCTGTCAGTACCCATGGCTGTACACTAGAGTTCTGTGAACCTGAAGACTCGAGATAAATGAGGGCAGGGACTACTGCACAGGTACTTTTTAAGAATACCTTTAAGTGCATGTTCATACATAAAATAATTTCCAAAGGTTAGCCATGCTTTCTTTGTCATTATATTCACAGTAGCAATTAACACTACTTGCACCATGCAGCCTATACACATGTAGAATGCTGAAGAATTTAATATTGGTAGTAGCTTTTGCAAACTGTAGCAGAAAAAGACCGTGTTTGATGTTGAATTTTCTGGGTACTGCCATCACCTGAGAAACACAGATTCTCTGTGAGGGCAGGTGCATATATATATATATTATATATACATATATATGTGCATATATACACACACACACACACATACACATATATATATATAAGGTTGTGCAAAAACTATTGCCTGTAAAAGATGTGTTGCTATCTGCTAATTCATTGGCTGACACAGCCATACAATGTTTCATTTGAGAAGGGGGTGGGGGGGAGGCTATGGCTAAACTTTACCCCTTTGTTCTCTCCAGTTGTCAAAATCCTGAAATTTCTCACTTGCTATTGAAATCTGACACCATAGACTTCTTTTGGGGCGATCTTTGTCAGATGCCTTCAAAAATTTGCAGTTATCCCCTGAACAATGTATAATTTGTAATAGTACCACTCTGGCAAAGATTTTAGCTTAATATAAACTAAAGGAAGCAGTCCATTAGGCTTCTGTTCTGGAGTTTGCTAATTTATTGATGATTTATTGAAGGGAATACAGTATTTTTGGACACACTTTCTGGGGCAAAGTAGTGCTTGTTGCTTGTCTGATTGGCAAAAATGTGTATTCCTGCTTTCTGAGACTTTCCTTACTTTAGAAAACCCCAGCATAAACATGCTATGCTTTATCACAGACTCATCCCTGTTTTCTCTCTGTCTAATACTTGAAGAATGGCTTTATTTAAAAAGACACTAGTTATTTTTCTTCATCAGCCATGAATTAATGCTTACTGTCAACTCACCCAGAGGGATACTAGTGCCAAAAGTTAATCTTCGTGTTTCTAGAGTCACTGGGATACAAGCTTAAAGCGGTTACATACACTCGCTCTTTTGCTGAAAAGAGTAATTTTCATAATGCAGTATTCCACTAAATTACTCAAGAAAATGCATATCACAAAGTCCGCAGCTCTGCATTCTGCAGAATTTTAATTCAGTACAATTCTGCAATTTCCTGGCAAGGAAACTCAAGCTTTTCATTTTGTTGCATATGTACTTTTAGTGTAATTCCTATTTCTTACCCTTGAACAAGTCACATCATTAAGAACAGTGTACTAACAAAACTTGTGTTCCATAATAAAAGCATAAAGTACTACACATATTTTTTTAAAAAGCTATGACACCAAAAAAGTTTTCTGATCTTAGTATGAAATTTCATAGAAGGAATAGCTGTGACAAAATATAATTAAAGTGCTGAGTTTGGATAGTGAAACTACATAGAGGTAAAGCGAGGTTTGGTTGAAAGAGCTACCCTGCAGTATTCTTTATCATAATGTCATTGCTCATATGAAACTAGCAAGACTGTTAACGTCGGCAAGTTCAGAAGGCAGATCTTAAACTGCTAACTATGCTTGACTGTAGCTCATTGGTTTTAAGTGTTTTTACTCCTTAAAGCACTAACGCTAACACACTGAACACAAGCTAAATAAACTGTGAACTAATGCAATAGCATCACTGTCTTTGAATTGAAATTTTGCAACAAGCAGAGCACGTTTATAAGGAAACTTGCTATTTTGGCAGGCAGTTAACCATTTCTACATACCCTGTACATAGCCCTATAAATGTATATGGGAAATACTCAGTGTGTTGATTTAGCCATAACTGTTAACTCTTATTTTTGGTACTGTAAATGAGTGGTTGGAAGGATTAGAAAAAATTTAGGCCTCATTAATTTATTGATCAGTTGTAAGAGGAACTAGCTGATAACTGGTTTCCTTCAATAGCTAAGAAAATTGTGGTTAATTATAAAAGTAGTGCTGTTTGTATTAAGAAAGTAGAATTTAGTGAAGCATTTGGAAAAATCTCAGTCTTCTGGACACTTTGTAACCTGTAGTTCTCAACTGGGAGAGTTTAAGTTCTTAATATGAAATGTGCAATTTATGTATTAAAATACTTTTCAGAAATAAATGTTTTTTTCATATTTGTTAGTGTATTCCATACGTCTGCTATGTGTGCTTCCTGCAGTATTACTTAGCATTTTCTGTATGTAATTAAGAGTAATGTTCACTTCTGCTAGCTCATATGGTGCAAGTGCAAATGTGCTGCTGATTCAAATCTTCAGCCTCTTAAAGTGCTAGTAACAAGCTTGTACAGATTTCTAAAATGTGATGATTTGATGTCAGGGCATCACCTCTAATTAAACCAAGATTTATAAATTTTTATTGAAGTCATGGATAAAGTCAGATTTTTATTTCCATGCTACATTGGATGGCAGGGTTGAATTGTAGAAGGAATTACAGCTTTCTGCACTAGGTACAGATTGACAGACAAGTGACAGGAGCTCTTCATTCAGTGCAGTGTATATAGAAATGCAGCTCTAATGAAGCTGTTAAACAGTGCTAAAGGACACTTTTAAAACTTATTTTATTAGTTTCCAACTTTGATCTTGTACTTGCACACACAAATACAACAGCCTGCTGTTTTTGCCCAAAGCCAAAATAGTTTTCACCAGCTACTTACAGAATTGTTCCCTACTTGATGACAAAAGTAATGGTAGGACAGTTTACAGTCAATTTGGAACTGAATACAAGGGCAAGTTTTGACCAAGGTCACCTAGACCAGCATCCTAGCTTGGCTGGACTGCAGCAGGATGTGGGGGAGAAAGCAGGAAAGTGCCAAGGCACTGCTCCTTTCTTGCAAACTCTCCCACCACTTGGCCTAGAAAGTTTGAGTGCTAGGTAGGTACAGGCTTGCTGCACACTATAAACGGCTAGCTCCTAAAGCCCGTGTTGCAACTTTCTCGAGGTTGTAGTACTGTCTTCCATAGCATTCTCCATTGCAGAAGTTTTAAAAAAAAAAAAAAAAAGGAAGAAAAACTGTCAAGAATAAGCAGCACAATTAGCATTCATGATCTTACTGTTGTGGACAGCTGTTTTTAACGAGCTTATTCAATTTTAATTGCTTAGTAATGTATTTTGAAGCCAGATCAAGTTTTAATCAAGCATTCAGACCCAGAGATACTGAATATTAAGGACTATAGTACAGATGACAGCATACATGTTTTCAGTTTACCTTTGGTTGTCACCTCCTGGCTTCCTAGAAAGTGAGTTTACTGCTTTGTTCCATAATAAAGCTAGAGTAATTAGAGGTGCAATTGCTTATTGCAAAGCAGTTGCAAGCTATGGCTATAGTTAACAGCCTTTGCTTCCTGAGCTGAAATGGAGCACAGGCATGTTCTAGTGAACATTGCACCTTATGCATTCCAGAGTTGGCTTCAGCTATTAAGCCCTGAGGTATTGCAAGCTCCTACAGGTTGTAAGGTGACAGATGATGCTTCTGGTCATGCCAGTTGTATTTCTGAAGAAGAAAGAAGCAGAGCTTAAGTCTTACTGTATGATCTGTATGATTAATAATGACTACAATGAATAGTACACACTGATGGGTTGCAACTGAAATCGGTGCAAAGACCCATCCTACAACAGTAATAGGGCATTAAGCTTTACCAATGTCTAATTTTTCCCTTCTTCACCATGTCACTAGTTGTCAGACTTATATTTTCTAGGTGTTGGAAGCCTCAAATCTTTGATCCGTCTCTGGTCTGCTCTGTAACTACAGTCCACTTCTTCTAGGGCATGTTGTTGCTGCTGCACCACTTCCCCGGTGAAACAGGTTTTCCTGATATTCAGCCTGACTCTCTCAAGTCAGTTTGTTGTCCTTGCTGTATCACCTAACAGTGCTGAGAAGAGGGTGACTCTACTGTGTTTGTAACTATCCTTAAAGTAGCTGTAGGCTGTTATTAGATCACCCCTTAGCCTCCTCTTTGCCAGACTGAACAAGCCCAGCTTTCTCAACTTCATTTCTGAGCCTGTTCAATAGCTTTCACCTGCTTCTGCTTGTACTAAGAGCTGCCCTCTTGGTCTCTTCTGTTGTCTTATTCTTCCTTCATCAATATATGATAAACATAAAACTGATTCTAGTCTTCTGTATTCTTATTCTTGCATGAAGTTTTCCATTCTTGCCTTTCGTGTAGAACAACTGTAAAGAACAATGAAATGTTACTGAAATACCTGGTCACTGGAAGTTCCAGAACCTCTAGTATTTCTTCATGTTCTAAAAAACTGTTTGTTTTCTCCTTATCTAGTTTTATTAGGGATCACTAGCTAGGGTTAGTCACTTAAAGCAAACACACAAAGCACGTGCATCTTTGGATTCAGTAGCCTAAACTTTTAAAACAGCATGAAACACTACAGGTCACTTCTTTATTCCACTGACTGCTGAATTTAGCCAGTGTGTTTACAAATTACACAGGATTCCTACTTCACTCTAGGTATACTGTAAGGAAGAACTGTTTCTGGCACAGGTTTGATATTTTTGTAGATGTTGAAGTTTAAAAGGGTATAACCCCATGGAAGCTGGCTGTAGAATCCAAATGCAGGCATATGTAATCTAGAAAACAGGCTGGTTTTGAAGCTGAGTAGAAAAAGAAACTGCACACCACCTTGCTTCTTGCTGCTGTGGAAGTAGACTGAAATCCATTTAACTCACCAATTGCATGAGAGTGAACATGTGTAAAAATGCACTAGGGGATGCATCTGGAGCATTATCAAGCATTATCCATTATTTCAGCATGACTCTTGCCTTAGTCAATGCTTCTTCACAAAGCTCCAGCTTCTGCTATCAAAAGCCTTTACTAAAAGTTTCCATTCTTTCTGCTTGCTGAAAGAAAGCTTAAAGTAGCAAAAGGAGTACTGGCCCAGAGAGAAGGCAAATACTTTTTTTTTTTTTTTTAAAGTAGAGGAATGGCAATTAAATAACTTAAAGAATTGTCTCCAAATAAATTTTTCATTAGTGAACAAAAAAACCCCACACATTTCCAAACAAGTCAATTACTCCACAATAATTACAGAGATCTCCATGGCTTTTAGCTGATAATGCAGTGGTGTTAAATTCACTTTGGATCCAAACTGGAATATTTTGAAACAATTCCCTCATTCTCACTTACTGTGCTTCGGTTCACATTGCAAATTGGTGTCTCAATGCACAAACGAGACCGTCTCAGATGAAACTTAAACAGGGGAATGTGCTCCAGCCATTTGGCAGGAAGAACATGAACACTGTTACATTGCCCATCTTTTCTTCCGCGCTCTAATTTTTGTATTTGTGTGAATACCCCCTGTTCATGCAGTTGTCTGTTGAGCCTAAACTAACTTTTCACAAATAACCAGCTTGTATTTCATGAAATATATAGTCAATTCCCTGGCATCTTTCTCAAGTGGGCTTCAAGTTACTTTTACAGGATATATTCAACATAGGTCTCTTCATATTGACTCTTCCCATAATATTAAAAAGGTGGAGGTTTTTTGGTGGGGTATTCTTTTTTTGTTATAAGACACATGAAAACTATTTCTGGCTTTCTTTTTTGAATAGTCTCAGTGTTATTTCCTCATTTTGTTTTTCAAGCAGTAGTACAGCTACAACAAGGTATCTGATGCTTGGCAATTTTCTACACTGAATTAGAGAGGTAAAGGAGGAATAAAACTCAGACAGGAAGCCCACATCCACATCCTGATCCTTCCTTGGATATTTGGGCAGGAGAAAAAAAGTTACAGGCAGCTCTTGTCAAAGACTCAATTACTTACTGTCCTTATCTTTCAAATTCTTGTTCCTTACAATAAGGCAGCTTCTCTCTGAGCATCATAGTCCAAGTCTGCTTGTTTCTCCCGCTGTTTTCTTGCCTGCTTTTCAGCCTGGTGAAGAAAAGGGAATAGCTAAGGTTGATATTTCTTTCACAGCATAGCTATCCATTAAAACAAGAGAGAGGATAAGCTTACAGGAGCTCTGGGGTGACGTTAATCAGTTTATACTTGGCAAAACCTTTCTTCTTTTCAAAATTAATTGAATACTTTAGTGGACCTCAGTGTTAGCTGCTGCTGCTGCTGCTCCTCTCTGGGGAAGGGGATACAAGAGGGCAGCAGTAATTCACACTGACACAGGACAGGGTGTGGTTTGTCATTGCAAGCCAGCCTGGACCTGCACACCACTGCTCAAGAGGAAAGGCTTTGGATTAGCGGCTCCCCAACAGGGATCACAGAATCACAGAACGCCAGAGGTTGGAAGGGACCGCCGGAGATCATCTAGTGCAACCCCCAACACGTTTCAGTAGTGGGGTCACGAGCACAAAGGAAGCTCAAGTGCACAAAGGGGATGTGAATCCCAGAGTGCAGTCTCTTGAAGTCACGCGTGGAAAGTACTGATCTCTCCCCTGTCAGCCCTTTCAGGTAATCCTCCGCGACCGACACGGTCTCCAAGAGACTTCTGTTCCACTGCTCTGAGAGGAGGCTGGTCCCCCACCATCTCAGCATCTGAGGTGCACGCAGGTCAAACAAACAGACGAGCAAAAAGCAACAACAAAAAGCTCCCCCCTCTCTCTTTCTCTCGGCCAGGATCTCGTCCCGTTGCTTTAGATGCGTATTTCTTTCTACGGGGGCTGACACGACACAGCACAGCACTTCTATTTACCATTTGCTGGACCTGAATTTTCTGGACTTCCATATTTTCATCACGACGTCTTTGTTTCTTGGCTTTTTCCTTTTCCAGGTAGACGCGATCTGCTTCCATTAACTCGTGAAGGTCTTTCTTACCCTCTGCTTTTTCCTCCTTCTCCCTTTCCGCTTTCATCTTCATCTGTATTTTACAAAATTCACAAAGTTAACCAAGTAGCTAGCCAGCCAAGTTGGAAGTCATGTCTTTCAGCAAAAGCACCCCCGCTTCAGAGCGGTGATGAGCACGGTCAGTGTGGCTGGCCAGTGTCCAAGCCCAGGGTTTTCAGCAGAGCTGCCAGATATGTGCCCAACATGCGGCGGAAGAGGGACAGAGGACCCCCAGGAAAGATGGCAGATGACCTGATGAAGCATGCTGATGGATGACACCAGACCCACCACCTGTGATCTGGGCCAGGCTCCCTGTTTGGAATAGGCAGTGCTAAGTATGCAAAAACGTTCACACGGATTACCAATGATTATAGAGCCTTCCGCCTCTAATCTCCGGAGAGAGTATCATCACATGTACTACTTGTACATTGCTGAAGCAATTAATCCTAAACCTATATATGGTAAATATGAGAGGTGGCTGCTTAGTGAGAACTTGCATGCGTATCTCACTAAAGATTTATATGCTGAAATAACATAGTGTTTCTCAAAAAGATATTCAGAAGAACAAGTATACAACAGAAGAAGGAATAAGAACAGGCTAGGTTTCTTACCACAGAGGCTCTGTATTCAGAAACAGATTCAATGTTAGCCCTAGTTTTTGCTTCAGTTTCTTTGTTTTTCTTTTGGTATTCTTCTTCTATATCTGCAGCTCCTTTAGCAATACGATCGCTTTCCATCTCAAACGCCTCCTCCATCTGCGTGGTTAGTTGTTTAACAGCTTTGTCCTGATGTTCCTGCATTAGTCTGCAGGAGAACATGAGCTATTATAACATACCAGGATATCCACCTACCTCTGGCATTGCTACTACCAAACCCAACAGTCCTATTTTCACTTTTCTCTTGCCACACAGGCCCACCTATGCATCCAATTCCTTGACCTCCTTTTGTTCCTCTTGCTGGAGAACAGTTTTGTTTTGTTTTGTTGGGTGGGGGGGGGGTGCGGGTGGGGGAGGTTATCTAATTTGGTTGCTAACGTGGCAAATGAGTGCTCACTATCTTTTGTCCAGCCAGCCCTCTGTTGCAATAATGAGCTGGATCACTCAGGTAGGAGTCCACCTAGCATCTTGCCATCAGGAAGAAAGTGTTCAGAATACTTGGCCAGAAATAGGTAGAGAAAGGAGCTGTTGGATTGGCTCAGCAATACCATATGTTAAATAAGTCCATCACATTTCCTTACTAAGGTAAGGAAATTAATATAGGTGCCTAGTTATAAAATCAGGTATGTACTTTTTCTTGCTGTCTTAGGGAATCAAAGGCCAGACAAACACTGATGAAGAAATTTACATTTCTGCAGATTTAGGCAGCCTGAAGAGTAGAGAGATTGCCTCCCTGCAAAGCACCAAGTACTACTGAAGCTGAGAAAAAATTCCGTATAGGCATTTCTTCTGAACTTTACCTTTTTTTCCAAAGTTTTAATTACAGAAAGACTCAGTTGTATCACAGAGTTTTGATTTTGCTGATGTAAGAATTCTGAGCAACACATTTGTCACAGCACTTAGTTATAACATTTGCATCTGAGATTTAAAACTCAAGCACTGGACTCACCTACAAGTCTCTGCATCTTTTTCTCTTCTTAGATCAGCCATCATTTCTTTTCCTTTAATGTAAGCTCTAATCTGATCATCTTCGTCCTCTTCCTTTTGTTCCTCTTCAGCTTTAATTATTTTCTGTTCAGCAACATGCTCCTGTTTAAACATAAAGATACTTTTACTTTTATACAGGATGAGATTTTGGAAATCCGAAATGCAAAATAAAAATCTAGCAGAGACCTCAGGCCTTGTCTGTTATAATCAGTTCTTTGGTTGTACCAGTGGATGAGGAGGTGCAGAAGACAAGCCTGGATGAGAGTTCTCATGATGAAATTGCCACAAACTACTGTAAGCATAAAATTAATATACACTTGCAGCCATGTTGTTGTAGCCCGAGGGCTCCAAAGGACACAAAAAATTAGACTCTGTAGAACCACAAAAGTATAAGCCACAAGTGTTTTGGAATCACCTAACAAGGCAGGTATGAGTATATATTGCTTTTATCACAGATAGAAGGCTGAAGGCAAATGGAGTAAAATGTATATAATTACAGCCAGAAGATATACAGGGAAGAGGAAAATTGAGCAGGGTATCACTGGAAATTTTCTCCTCTTATTCTTTCACATTCCTTCACTTCATTCAGAGGCCCTTCACTTTGGCCTCCCTGTTCAAGCACTCATTAAGGGGAAACAGTAGCTGTGGTAAGTACGTCTCCCAGACGTCACTGATCCTAAAGGGAAGACATATTAAAAAGACACGGCAGCCAAAAGCAAAACCAGCATTGAACTCTCTGCTTTCCTGTTACTTACATGATGCAGCCTCCGACGTTCAAGTTTTTCCACCTGTTCCTTCTCCTTTCCTCTCTGAATTTCCAGTTGGTACAACCGGGTCAATCTCTGAATTTCTTCTCCTTCTCTTTTGTCTTCTAGCTTGGCTAGTTCTGCCTGATGCTTGTGCTCCTTTATTCTGAAACAGAGAAAGGAGTTGAAGAAATGGGCTAGGGACCCCGTAAAGTAGTGAAAGGGCAAGGATTCTGCATGTCTAAAGGTACCCTAGCACCAACAAATGGGTGCTTTGAAGAGGAGGTGGGTAGACTGTGGGTAGCGGTCCAAAATAGCATCCTGGTTTTTAAAGGTAGTCCCACATCCTCTGGCCAAAGTTCAACTCTAGCACAAAGGAGAAGTACTTAGGATTCTGCTGGCTAAGTCTATACTAGCAAAAGCAAACAAGACCAGCAAATGAACTTGAACTCTATGTCGCACTTGATTAGCCTATTTAGTTGTTAGCCCGCTCCCTGCACCACTTTGGCCTTTGCCAGCTAGCACTCTCCCAAACAGTGCCAAGGCACCAGGTAGGACATGAAAAGGGCCGTCAGCCCACGCTAGCTGGCTGCGCGAACGATGCTGGGATGGGCAGCGGGAAGAGGAAAGAGTTTTGCCTTACAGACACAAGCCACTCGCTCTCAAGGCCAGAACACAGATCCTCGTGTTTAAGGCGCTAGCCCAGACGCAGCCACTGAAAGCACGAGGCTTCTCCGACGCTGCAGCAGAGCCTTCCTGAGGGGCCGGGGTGGGAGCAGAGGTTAGCGGTTTCAAGCCTCATCGCAGAGAGGAGAGGATCAAAACCAGTCTTAAGGCGGCAGTAACTCCTGCAGGCGGGCACCGTCCCCTCCCGTCTCCCACGGGGAGGTCGCGGTTCGGTTTTCCGGCTCCCCCCCGGAGCAGGCTGCCCCCGACCCAGCCCTCGCAGGCCCCGGCCGAGACCTGCTCTCTCCGGCATGCGGCCAATTACGTCACCCCGTAATCCGGGCGGAAACAACGGCTCGTCGGGGCGGTGCGCCCCGAACCCGCGAGGCCGCCCCCCGGCGCTGCGAGGGAGTACTAAGAG